GCCAGGAACCCTGGAGGTGCTCTGACATATCTGTCCTCAAATCTCCTGGCAAGTGACTTTTACAAGGCCACTTAACTCCTCCTCACAGCTAATGAGCTACTTGCTGCTTTAGGATAAGATTGGCTCCAAAGAAATGCCTAGGGAAGAGATTGCCAGAAGGCCTTCATAGATGGGCCAGCCTATTAAAAAAATGGATTCTAGGAAAAGTGAAAAAGACCCTGAGAGCATCAGTGTGCAGCAGGCCCCAGGGTTCTTTGTGTTTGCTAAGCAAGGCAGCGACAGCCAATCTGTTCAAGGACTTGACCCAGGAAAAGGGTTTGTGGCCAAGAACTGGGAGTGGCTGTGGTGTTCTTGTGCTGGTGAGCAGCATCTGCCATACCACCAGCATCTGCCATACCACCAGCATTGACAGCAGCTGCACTGTCAATGGCAGGCTGCAGACCCTGGTGGGAGAGGAGAGGCTAAGGACCAAGTTGTGGGAGCACGGCACCCAGAGAAAGCATTTTGTTAAGGTCTGCATCAGCCATGTTGCTTTCCTGCAAGTGTGCCCTATTGCTTTATAGACCAGGAGAGGACAGGTATGGTACTGGCATCTAATTTGCATTTTCTTTACCCACCTGAGAAATGTGTTTTAAAGCCAGAACTTTGCAAATTATCTCTTCTGGTTTCCCCTCTTGCTGGGCTTTACCTTTGAACATCTGTCTGCCACCCGAAAAGGCTGTAAGAACATAAATGAGCCGCACATGCAACTGTCTGGTTAGCTACACTGAAGAAAGGTTTAGGGTTGACTTGCTCACAGTTAGCAAGATAAACCTGAAGGCAGCCAAATTAAAACCAAGGTTGTAGTGGATTTCCCATCAGAGGAAATTCTTAAAACACAGAGTGTATATTTCTAAAAAACTGTTATTTAGTTCAAATGGAATCCCAATAAAACCTATGAGAGATTTGTGTTATTTTGGGAAATCACAGAAAGAGGCCGTGTCTATAATTTTTAGCATCTGTGATCTCAGATGAGTTTGTTGCTAGCTTGTCTTTGGCAAGTGGGAGGGATAAGAACGTGCTGGGTTTTGTCACTGCAGGAGAATACTGAATGAATTACAATATTTAATAGCTCTGTAGGGAGGCAGAAAGGCGTAAATGGACATGAAGGAAACTAACGTTATCTTAGTCTATGAAAGAAGCGCTATAGTAACAGGAAATAATAGGCTAGTAAATTTTACTTTAGTTGCAGGCAAGTTCCTGGAGATTTTAAGAGCAGAGACCACAAAATATATGGGGAAGTGTGTTCTGATAAAAGTTACCAATGTGTCTTCAGAGGGAATATGCTTTATATAAGGCTAGGAAAGCTTTGTGAAGCTCATTGAGAGGTAAACATGTGAAGGAAAGGAGAACGAAACAAGTGAAACCACTTGGATTTTTGCATTAGGTCAAATAATAGTGGGTAGAATTGAGAAAAGGAAGCCATTTCTAAAGGTATGAGACCCGTGTTATGACCATAGAGAAGCAGAAGAGTAAAAGTGCATGAAGAAGGTATCAAAGAAAATAGAAGGATGATACTTAAAGAAGTTCTTTTCTATGTAGTTTGCTAAGGGTGGGTTCAAAAGTGCTTGGTACCCTATCCACACTGGTTACAAGTGAAAGTTAATTTTTAAAGGAAATGCTGCCAGATCAACTTTGAGCACCTTTGGGAATTCCATAAAAGGTATCTGAATCCATTGAACCGAAAATACAGCTCATGGCAAGAAACATGACTGTAACCTAGGAAAATGACAAGTGAAGAGGGTTTAGATTAGCTTCCCTCTCTGTGGTCATACTGAATTTGCAGCATGTGTAATTTACCTTAAAAAAGAAAAAATCCATTCAACCCCCCCCCCAAAAAAAAAAAAAAAGAAAAAGAAAGAACCTTTCAACCAGAACTGTAGGGAAGAAGGAAATGGGTAGGCCAAAAAGGAGGGAAATTATGGATTCATAAGACACTTGTCAGATGCCTGATGAAACAGACCCTTTTTTTCTGCTCAAGACTCAAGACTCTTGTTTTCTGCTCAAGGTTTACAAATAAACTGTAAAAAGTATGACCGCATAATATTATACTAATGACAAATCAGGGTTTTTATGCCTTTCATTAGAGCTGATCCATAGAAAGCAAAAGAATTCACATGAATCCCTCTCCAAAATTATGTGTCCTAGTACTATGTCCATCAAGTCGATTCCAATAATTATGATAGTCTAGTTTTCCAGACCAGAAACTGTTTAAAACCAGGCATATTACTGCAGCCATTAGTGACCACAATTGCAAGCTGAATCAAATTACTGATGGACTTCAGATCTTATTTCTACCCGTTCTATTTCTTTGTTTGTATCTCCATCCGCAGATTGTATTCACAGTTTTTATTCAACAAATTAAAATTCAGACAGGCATGACAAGTAATTCTATCATGTGTTTTTCTTTAATCTGGTGCTTTTTCCATGTGAAAGAAACACCAAGAGGAACACGAAATGGATTATTGTAAGTGAGGTTAGTTCTTGGTGCCATTTTCTCCTCCTAGTGAGGCTTACCATGAAGCTGAACCACTAAGACCTGTTAGAAAACATTGCAGAAGAAAGAGGCAACTGGAGATGAGATTGACTTGTAAATTAAGTGCAGTTCTCGACTATGCATGACAGATTAAATGTGTGGTGCCTGCAAAAAACCTTCTTATCACCCTTCGCATTCTTGTTCCTACCAGACCATTTCTGTGGAGAGGGAAACCTCCCACCCCAATGGTCGCCAGCAAATACTTCCCTCTCCCTGGCTTTATGAGGTTATTGATAGACATTTTATCTTGGGTCTGGCAGCATGATCAATGCAGGAGTGGTGGTAGGGAGACATTAATTTAAACCAAATCACCACTCTGATTTAGTGCACTGAAATGGTTGTATAGTACACACAATCCCTGGAGCAATTATTCAGGATCCTCGTCATCTGCTGTGGGTATGTTAAACCTTTTGGAGTTTTTTTTTGGCCATGTTTTACCGGTGGAAGTTCTCCATCACAGCTTTGATTGCCTGTGCCTTACAGTGGCCATGAATCGCACGTCAGTCCTCTGTGCTCTCTGAAACTGTGGCGGTGTTTTCAAAGCACACCTGTACTGTGCTTGCATCTGTGTGAACAGGAGACTGGTGTGAAGTATTACCTATCTACATTCTCAAGTCACTAAAACAAAATAAGTACAGTCTTAGCCATAACATAAAAAACCTGACCAGAAAAGAGAGGATTAGTGGTGACATAGCACTTATTATTGCTCTGCAACCAAATGAATGGTATAGGAGCACAATGTATATGACTTACACTGTTGTGGCTATATATCTTGTATCTGTGGAGCAACGTCCAACAAAATCATAGCTGAGACCCAGCAGAATATAATGTTTGGTAAAGCTACCCAGCTGGGGAAAAGCAATGAGTAATACAGACTCTGTATTGGCATGAATGCCTCTGCCTGTTCCAAACTTAAGCAGTATTTTGACCTTCTCATTGCAGGAGCTTCAGTTTCTGATTTCCTTTTCAGCTTTTTCTCTTATGTTTTTTTTTTTTTTTTTTCCACTTGAGTTGGGTCTGTTGCAGGAAGATCAGAGCAGAACTCATGATAATGATGTGAACTGGAAATTAAAGGTTTTGACTGATAAACATTTAAGTTGAATATGGAAATTGATTTTGCAACCTGGGACATTCATACCCCTGTAATTTTTTAGATCAGAAAACCAGTGTAATTTCATAGTTATATTTATTGCTATGTAGGGGGTTACACACTTTCTTAATATGTCTAAAACATCATTATACTAGTGAATATTTCTGTAGAGCTGAGAAACGTGAATGAGAATCAATGCTGCAAATGGTGTAAAGTTAGGTTCTGCTGCTTCACCCAATGTTACTGATAATTCCATCAAAGAAAACTGTTGCTCAGTTCTCTTGTACTTGGTAATTGGTTCATACAAATGCTTTTCAAAACCAACTTTATATTAAATTGCTATGGATATGTGTTGGAAATTTACCTGAGAGTTTTGTTGGGGGGGCAAGGAGAGAAGGAAAGAGAAGTGCTGGACAAAGCCATAGAGAATAGTTTGTGGCATAGAATATCTAATAAAATGGAAGATACTTTCTGGAGTTTGTTGTCTGAGAAGAGTTGAAAATTGAGTAAGCACCCAATGCATTTACATTCAGCCAGAGTAGCTTCGATAATATGCTACTCTGTAGCAAAGTACATGCAGCCACTTCATACAGTGTTCAGTTCATTTTGAATGCTGTCCAGCAAAACGCACACTCTGCCCACCAGACACTTGCTCCACAGTACAGAAAAGTGGGGTTTCAGTGGCACCCGAGATGGTTTTAAGCTGCCAGTTAGTTTACAGGCACACAGGGTTAGAGTAACCCAGCCGCCCTGATTTTAAAAAGCTGTGGAACTTCAACAGGACGTGCAGGACCAGGGCAGTCCTACCCCAAAGGAGTCAAGTTTAGAGCGGTACAGTTGTGTCTCAGCCATCTCATGCTTGCACATGGCAGCCTGTTAGTGCATGTTCCTGTCCTCTGAAAGATGCAGTCTGCTCATGGGTGCACAGCTTCCATGGCGCAATTTTCTCCAAGTTTCTGCCTCAAGCTTTACTTCCTCGGTTCATATGTCCATGGGCTTTGGAAACCAAACCTGTTGCTTCAGAAGCCAGCTGACCCTTTTCTTGTAGCAGCAGGCTCTGTTCCCTCTCCTGGGAACTCTTCTGGCTGCAAACTCAGCCAATTTGAGTCTGCCTTACAGCAGGGATGTTTTCTAACTCTATGGGGGCTTGTTTGTCTTTAGCTTTTTGCTTTCTCCAGCACTCAAAAATAATTAAGAAGTAATGAACAGAAAATAAAAAGCCCTTGAACAGCACAACAGACAGGGTAGGATACAACATTTTTGTTACTGGTTCTTTCTTTATTGTGTGATCTTGGCGAGTTCCGCTGTCTCTTTCCCTCCCTGCCGTTATCTGCCTTATTTGTTCAGAAGTTGAATATTCTGGGTAAGAACCTGTCTCTAATGTATCTGTGCAGTGCCTAGATCAAATGAGCTCCAATTTTTGTTGTAGCTTCCAGGCTCTGCTGATGAATATACTGGATTCACAAACTGCACCTGCGCTATCCTGAAAGAGTGATCTTGATGGAAGATGATCCTGGCAGAAGCTGGCCGAGCTGATGGCCATGTTTCTGGCATGCTAGTTCATGCAGAGGAGATATCTGGCTTTCTGGTTTGCTTAATAGCTGACCAACTATCCCCTGCACCACCTCTGAAAATCAGTTGGTGACCAAGAGCCAAACACTCGTATCTTTCTATGGATCTTCTTGTTCAGGAGAGGGTAACTACTGTAGGATACTGTTAAAGGTGGATGATCAACTGGTTGATTATAACATGGGTGCATCTATCTGAAAGCTACTGATATTGCTGAGAACATCCTGAAAGGCTGTTTCAAATACAACATTTAACTATTTTTGTAGCAGAGTGAGCTGCTGAGCATCACAATGGGCATTAGATCTGCAAGAAGTGAAGCTGGTTTTAGTCACACTTAGCTTTAACTCAGGGGACAAGCCAAAAGCAAGTATTTTAACTGCATTTACCAACACAAGTGGAAGCACCTGTGCATGCAAGTCACTCTGCCCTCTGTTACTTGAACTCCTCTCTTGAGGGCTTAATCCTGCAACCCTTCCTAACACAAATAACTTTCTCTTCTGTGGGTTTATCACATGCAGAGGATTTGCAGATGAAGGGTTTCTGTTTGCACTTGCAGCACTTTTGATTCCACTGGTAACAAGAAGATTCTACCAGATTTTTGATTCCACTGGTAACAAGAAGATTGCTTTGATTCACCTATCTTCAGGTATGAGGTAGGCTAAACTACCTTGTTCCACAGGGGGTAGTACTTCCATGAGCTTTCTGCTTACCATGCCTAATTTTTTCACATTACCTCTTTTTTAATCTGGTTGCTTCATTCTCTTACCATTGGCTGGAAAGATTTTTCCTTTACAGTTTATTGAGCTGCATGCAGTATATTTTTAATAAGAGAAACATGTACTGAAAGCACTTATAAATGTTCTCTGTGTATTTTGTGAAATACTGCTATCCCTTGCACCCTTTTTGCTTGCAGAGTTACAGTGTGCTGTGTAGTAGCAATAAATGTTAAATAACCTGCCTGCCACCCAACTTCACTTTGTGGTACTTGTATAATTGCAGAGGCATTCAGAAATCTCACTGTGAGGCTCTGATTTGATGGCAACATGTGAGCGTTTCACTGTAAACACTCTTTGATTACACGAGATTTCATTACTAGAGGTTTCTGCTCTAATATCCTCTTTCCTTTGAGGATCAGGACCAACATTACAGTAACCACATTGTTAGCAGGAGCAACATGAGATTAAGAATGTGGACTCCATTGATCTGAGAGCTTCAGAGTGAGGGTGCTAAATATTCCTTAATAAGTGGGGCCTCAACTTGGCTCTGCATACTGACTGCACAGGAGCATTTGAATTATGTTGCCTTGAGCATGGTTTGAAAAAAAAAAAGGAAAAAAGAGCAGAGTAAGATTGATATCAGATTATTCGCTGTTTATTTATCCCTTTATATGTGGGTAAGATACTAATCTCACATGGGAGTATTCCTTACAGAGGCACTGTATGCTTGCTGCTGCTTTTCCCGTGCAACTCCCCAGCATGTTAGTGGGCCGATTTTTACACTTAGAGCAAGTACTTGGACTGGAAAACAAACACTCGTTATGGCTTGAAACAGGCAAATCGGTGTCAAAGACCAGGTGCGTGACCACTGAGTGTATGAAACACTGCGGACCCCTGCAGCTCCCGTGCGCTGCACAGGCAGTTTTACCAGCTGTGCCGTGTGGAAAGTGCTGAGTGCTGACATTGGAGCCCAGTAGGCTTTGGCAAAACGCTGTTTGCACCAGCACACTGCTGGGCCCACTGGGCTCTGGCTCTGTTACAAAGATATTGAAAACAGTTCTCTTGTCTCCTAATAAAACTCTATTAACATCCTTGTCACTCCAACATGTGCACCTTTGTAATTAACAGCTCACAGATGTTGTATTTTCTTCCTTCATGTTTCCCTCCCCTCTATTTTTGCCTTGTTTCTTTTTGTGAGTTGCCGAGGCAGTGCTGAGCTTGGTACTAGCTTCCCTTGATGCTAAGCATTAAGCTGTTGCAAGTGTCTCCCTTAGACTGCTAATTATCTTGGAAGAATTCATTAGTGAATGTGTTTGCTTTATGCCAGCTCTATTTCACTGGTGAAATCAAGGCTGAACTTGTGTGGTCCCTTCCAGCCCTGGTCCCTGCCCATGGCACCAACCATTCTATTTGGTGGAAGAGACTGTTTCAGAGTTCATGCTCTGTAGAAAGGCTCAGTGCTATTAGTGCAGGGTAGAGAGTGCTGCTGCGACACTGAGTGGTTTGGTGCTGGCTGGAGTGATGTTTTGTAGGTAGGCTAGGAAATGTTGGGTTTCTCTGTGGTCGTACTTCCGAGGCATGCTATACTGTGAGTCACATAGCCACTGCCATCTGTGTTTCTGTGCTTCAGCTGCTTTAATAAGTTTACATATTTGGCTTGTCAACTTTTAATGCAACACAAATTTTTGGGTAGGGTTGAGTGAAACTACTGCTGACTCTGGGTCAAGACAGACTGGAGTGCAGATTCTCCTGAGACTGCATCCCACTCTTCAGGGCTGACCTCCTGGGTTTTGATCAAAAGTATCATCTATAGCCTTTACACCCATTTAATAGTTTCCCACCTCTTTTTTAGCTTGAGGTCCTGATTTTACTTCTCTAGAAGCCACTACACAGGCAGGGCCTTGAGTTAATTTCAGATCTGTCACATGGGAGCCACTCTGGGGACTTGCTTGAGTCACTTAGAGCAGTAAAAGCCATGGCAGGTGGCCTTGTATAAAGAAATTGGGATAAAAAGTCAAGAGAGTTCCAAGATTGCAACTCAGCCCCCGCAGACAGCCTCTTTGTGTGAGGCTGTGGGGTGCAGCATTCCTGTCTCCTCCTCTTTGTCTTTCCAGGACACTGCCACTAACACCCTGATTCCTTCAGCAGAGCCACTTCCCTGGATGTCAGAGGTGGGCACACAATCTGTTTCACTGATGCTGTGTTGGCTTTTAAGGGAACCTTTCTTTTCATCAGACTCCTCGTGACCAGATGTAGTAGATTCAAAAGCCCTTTGTGATGCCTTGGGACCTCTCCCTTTCCTTCACCTTGGAGCCATCCAATCTTTCTGCAGCCTTGTATCAAACTGTGACATTACAAAGCAGAGGGTGGGATGTATTGTGCTTACAACAATTGCAGCTCAGCTTTTATCTCAAATATGCTTATATTGTTTTCAAGTCCGTGCGAAGGAGGAAGTCCAAATGAAACCTAAAAATACAGGGACTGTTGACCTTCAGGAGATGTTTCCTATACCCACAACTCAACTCAGTCTGCAGTTGTGTCTGCTTTTCCTGGCTGCAGACACAGAGAGGCTGAAATAAGCAATCAGCTTGTTTATGGCAGGTTTTAGTGCTTCACTAGTATAATAAAACAGGCTTTTGCAGAAGGGATTTGGTTCTCATGTACTTCAGTGTTTTTTACTCCATTTTGCTCCATAAAACCCAGGATCTTGTTTACAAGAATTAGCAGCTTCCCAAGGTCTCTGCTGATTTTGAGGAATCAACCCCTTGCAGCTATGTGACACCACCATGCAGCTCCCGCTCCAGCCGGTGCTTGCAGAATGACTGTTCCCTACGTGCGGTCGAGCACTTGGATTAAACACCTGCACAAAACAATTGGCACAACCCAAAGGGCTGTTAGAGGCTCCATATCCTGTTTGGGAATCACTTCAAGTGAAATTAATGATTCTTCCCTGCACGCAGACTTTTTAAAAAGAAATCTGTTTTTATATGTGCAATTAATCCAAAGCGGTTGGTGTGCACTCTGTCCTGTTACACATTGGAAAGACAGCAACTTTATGGCTTTTAATTCCATAGCACATGTGGCATTTGAGACAGCAGCATTTAAGACAAAAAAATCCTCACATAGGTGGTAAATGTGACACATGCATATTCCCCCTGTCCACTTACCCTTTCTCTGTTTTGAAGTGAAGGCGAGAATGTCTTATTTGAAAGGCATTTATGTATGTGGTCCTTGTATTACATAGATATTGTACAGAGCTATATTATGTTCATGGCAGAGATTCAAATAAAGAAAAGTTACAGTTGACTTTGTGTGCTGATTCACACAGTGCTGCTAGCACTTGTGATGTTATCACAAGTCTTGTGATATTTAATATTCTGTCTTAAAGCTCCAGGCTTTCTCATCACATGCTTGTTTGAATCTCAACTCTCCTTTAAAATATGAAAGGACCTGTCTCTCTCCTAGCTGCAGAGAACAGCTTGAAATAACATTTTATCCCCTAAGAGCCAAAACATCAGGAGGCAGGTAAAGTTTTCCCAAAGACTTCCCCTGCTCTCCCCCAAATCTCTCTAGAGTCCCATTTAACCCTTATTTGTTTGGAGTTTGATGCTGGATTTTGAGTGACTGTGTTTAATGTCAGCAGTGGTCAGCCTGTGTTCTGTTTGTGGCTTGATGCTTCAGATGAAGGCAGAATCGCCTTATTGCAGCAGGTAAATATGGCATGCAGGGATGCTATTTTAATACAATTAATTCTATCCTGTAGGTTGCTTCACCACAGCCCTCTTTACCCTGAATCAGTGCTTATGTTAGGATCTGCTAAATGTGTAGGAGCAATTGAATTTCTTTTGGTCTGTCAAGTAATTTAGCAAATAGTAGTTTCCAGGCAGAGATGACCCTGGTTTTGTGTTGTAGAGTTCACATATCTGAGTCAAACAGGATTAGTATAATGAATCCTGGTAGACCAACAGTTCTTAATGCTTCTGCATATGTGGTCCAATGTGGACAGTAGTGTTTTAAGCCTATACTACCACAATAAAAATCTACTGTTCCATTTTTAGCTGAAATCTAATTTCTGCATTTTTATTTTTCTCTCTTGTAGTTCTGGTTCAACTGTGCTAAACAGATCTGTATAACAGACATGCAATTTTAGTTGAATATTTAAAATAAAACTGAATTGAAGGACCCCCTAACACTGTGTTTTAGAGTCAAGCTATTAAAATCTCAGGGCATTCACAAATTTGCCACTTCTTGTGAAGAAGCAAACCTGTCTGTAATGTGTACCAAAGTATTTTCTAAGCCCAGTGTAAAGGCATTTTTCCCTGTTTACACTAAGCTGGACTGTTCAGTCTGTGACTGCGCTAGACATGCCACTGAAGCCATAAAATATATATACAGGTAGTGGAACAACTTGCCTGATGCGAGTTTTAAATCAGGAAAGGCCTGTAGATGGTGCTGTAATCTAACTGAAAAAAAAAAGGTTTACTGTGAGGCTGGGTGGAATTTTCTTGGACCTTCTCAGAAGTTGAACTCGGATCTGTTTTGCCTAATTTCACACCTGCATGATTTTGAGTTTTAAGTAAGCATGGCAAACTCGGTTCGCTGAGATGAATAGTTACAGACACCTGCAGATGGACTCCAGTACCCTGTCACCATACCTTCACCATCTTCCCCATACTCTGTACAGCTTAAGCCCCACCTCACCAGGCTGGCACCATGCAATATTTCAGAGAAAACTGTGTCATTGACTCGTCTGCATACTTCAGTCTCAGAAAGCTCTGAATGTCCTAAAAGGTCAGGGGGCTTGCATAAGGATAAACTTTCTCCGGGAGAAGGGAACGGGCAAAAGGAAACAGATAAAATGATTTGGGTTTTCCACCAGCCTCATTTTTCACTGCCTTGGCCCTCTCAAGAAGCCCTCTAGCAATAACCTACAGCTT